ACATTAGACCGGTTTCATCTAAAAACTCTTTTAACGTCAGAAATATCCAAAAGCAGTTGCTGGGTCTCAAAAACTCATTTTGACTTTTCAAAAGTCATGTCAAACGGGCCATTAGTTTGTATCTCAATATGTGCAAGAGGTACTTCAACTTTCAAACTTGATACTTTGGTCCTCGAATTTCAGATTTCATCCAACTTTAATTCACTTTTTTTTTATTATTATTATCAAATCTCATTCATTTTCGTTCTTTTTCTTTCAGTACCAAGTTTTCTCCTAAAATTAAACACACAAAATTAAGTACCCAACCGATATAAGTACTCTTAAACTCCCGGTACCTTTTACGGCACGGATAAGTGTAGAATCACACTTATCATTATGCATGTTCAAAAAATAAGTTTTCATCCCAGAAGAATTCAGCCATTGGACTCTCCAATAAATATTTTCGTATATAGGGTAGACCATAAACTATAAGAGGAGGAGCAATGTAGACTGTCCCTAATCCCTATTGATGTTATTACTTGTTAGTATAATTCTCAGTTAACAATGTTGTATGAACTGTATATGTTACAGCATTATCGGCTGGTCTTCCATTACTAAAACCTTACAAAGAAGTTGGAGCAAACTTCACAAATGGCGTAAACTTTGCAGTTGCAGGCTCCACTGCTTTAACAGTAGAAGCACTGGCCGCAAAAAATATTTCATCTATAGTAACCAACAGTTCGCTTGACGTACAATTGGATTGGATGAATTCTCATTTCAATTCCACGTGCCACGATCAAATAGGTTGGTTGGTGTTCGTTCTTCCGCGCATGTTTGAGCCTCATTATTTAAAACTTATCTTTTAACCACGCATTTTCTCTGACAAAAAAAATTTATACGTGAACCCAAAACTTTTCTCTACTATTTAACCAAATATTTTCCAAAAAAATGAGGCTTAGGATCGATATGAGGATCAAATAATTCCATTAATCTATAGAAGGTGTGATTTTTTTATTTTTTTTTTCAGATTGTGTTGAGAAGAATGGGAAGTCTCTTTTCATGGTTGGAGAATTAGGTGGTAATGATTAAAACTTTGCATTATTCCAAAGAAAACCTATTCAAGAATTAAAAGACATAATACCTCAAGTTGTTGGTGTCATTGCAAATGCTGTTAGGGTAAGTGTTTTTTCTTTTTCTTAGACATTTCTTCTTGCAAATATATACACTACACCAAAAAAGACCTTTTGCAGCGGCAAAAAAATGATGCGGTAGACCTTTTGCAGTGTTTTAGCGTGTGTTGCGAATGTCGGTGTTGTCGTTAAGGGAAGACTATTTGCAGCGTTTATTCACCGTTACGAAAAACCCTTTTGCAGCATTTTTTAAACATTGCGGTATACTCTTTTACAACATTTTTTTACTGTTGCAGTAAACCTTTTTGCAGCGTTTTTTCAACGTTCTCGTAGACCCTTTTGCAATGTTATTTAAACGTCGCGGTAGATTTTTTTTATTATTATTTTTTTCTAGATTAGGATATGGGATAGAAAATTAAACCATCCATATAATATAACAAAGAAACTCTAGATATATTTTTGCATTTGAATAAGATTATACAAAATTCTCATAAACAATAGCAACACACGTGAATTTGCCAAAAAGAAAGTAAAATCACAAATCAACATTTGGCTAACTAATTTGTTTATGAATTTAGACTAATGGCCTTTTCTCTTCGTCTTCTTCGTCGGCTCCATTTTCTGGTGTCTTCACCTTTTTCAGATGATTTTTTCCTCGAGGTGAGTAGTCCTTGACATACAGGATCTAGACAGAGAAACTCATGCTTTGTTGGAAGAGATCTCCTCCTCCTGATTTTCTCTTCCTTAGTACCCAATTCATCATTGAAAGTAGGATTTGTCTCCATCTCCACATCATTTACCGGCGAATGTGGCCGGACAGCAGGATGATCAGATTGTGACACATTTTCTGTAATTGGCGAGGGAGCTTCAGACAATGCCAGTTCATCAACTACAGCATTTGAAAAATTAAAATCTAGTCGAAAGGAACCCTTGTTTTCAACCTCAAAAATTTAAGAAAACAGATTATGAAGAGATTCTAACAATCAAACACTGATGCATCATGTTTCTCAATTTTCTATGGACAGACAGACTTGTTCACTGTCACAACTCAATTAAACGGATTGAAAATGGAGATACTATAACAAGGATTATATGATAGAATATGAAATACAATTGCACGATCTACCCAATAAGATGCCCATCAATTTGATGCCATCTTCATTTAAACAAGGGAAAATTTAAAGGAGACTACAATAGTCATTCAGCCAGATCAAAATTGCATAATTTTATCTTGTCAGTTTAAAAAATAAATAAAAATAATCACACTTTAAAAATTATGATACCAACCTGGTATATCATTCACCTAAATGCTATACAAAAATCATTAAAATACATGTCATCAAGGTTGCATTTATAACGAACAGATCAACAAGTGCCAGAGCACTTCTGACAGTTCTAACATCGCAAAAACAAAAACACGAGCAATTGAAACATACATACTTTGATCCTCCTAAACTATATATTCACCATATATACTCTCTTAAATATATATTTCTTACTTCCACACAGTTTGTAGCTCCTGTGACCAGTGGCGGACCTAGCCTTGAAACTCAGCCCGGGCGGACGTTGACCGGTCAACGTCGACAGTGAGTGATCGTAAGACCGAGATTGTTTATTAATATTTAATTAAATAATATTAAAAATTACTTAACATATATGTAAACGCACTAAAACGTAAAAATTATATATATATGAAAACGTAATTCAATACAATCCAAAATACTAAAGAAATACGCAATACAACATTCATAAATCCAATTCAAAATCCAAATTTCCAATTCCCCCAATTCCAATTCCAAATTCAATTCCAAACCCTAAACCCTAAACCCTAAATCCAATTCCAAACCATAACCCTAAATCCAATTCCAATTTCAATTCCAAATTTCCAATTCCCCCAATTCAATTCCAAATTCAATTCTAAACCCTAAACCCTAAATCCAATTACAATTCCAATTCCAATTAGCTTGAACAGATCACTTGTGAGTTACGAAAAAAAACACTCAAAATTGTTAATTCTTGTTCACCAAGAACTCATCTTTCTTCCAAAAAACAAAAACATTCAGAATCAAGATTTTTCATCAACAGAGCCGGAAAAAAAAAATGAATTGAAGCAAAGCTTCGTCTGGATTTTCACAAAACTTGAAAAAAAAATCAGAAACAAGAACTAGACCACCTACTTTTCCACTACAAGAAGGTAGAGAACGAGAGAGTTCGATTACCTGAAAGGGCTATACAAAATTGTATCACATACCGCAGCTTCAGTCGTCTCCTTCATCCTCTGCCGGTTTCAATATATGCAATCGGTTTTGTCTTGTGGATGATGGATACCCATATATGATATATCCATGGATACCATGGGTTGGGCAAATTCATTGGGCCTTATTTTTTTTAAAAAAGGCCCAAACAATGGAAAAAAATTCAGGCCCAACCGCCCAATCCTTCGCTTCTTCCCGCCCAATCCTTCTCTTCTTCCCGGCGTCTTCTGCACTTCTACCCGGCGGACGGCGGTTTTCCTGAAGCTCCCTGCGGATCCAGCACGGGCGGCCGCGGGGGCTCGCCAGGTGCTGGGTCCGCCCCTGCCTGTGACCTCATTTTTAACCAAATAACTTCATAACAAAATTTGCTTCAAAAAAGTATTAATAAGTTGCATTCAACGTCTGACCCATGTGGCTACCTTTCTTCTAGTAATTCTGCAGGAACTTCTACCCATACATAGAGGAGGGAAAGTCGAAATCTTTCTAATGGAATTGACAGGATGAAGCTCATATACCGAGACCCATAAGCCAGAAGGTGAATAACAAACGTGTTCGTGAATAAAAATTCAAAATAAAACTTTCTACAATCATACCCCAACTCTCCATCAAAATCTTATTCAAGAATACAATTGCGTGTATTTTGTGTGTACAATCAAAATCCCAATTACAAATTTTCACATAAAAAACAATCTTTAATGTGTGTGCTTTTCATATATATATATTCAAAGAGAGCTAAGGTAGATGGGTTACCGTGAAGAGTGAAGGAGTTTGAGGGTTTAAGAGAAACCCCATTTGAGAATCTGGGGAGTAATGAACCGAATGCTCTTATTGTTGAAGATGAAGGAAACGCCATTTTCACTTATTTTCTGAAAATTGG